AGTCAAACCGAGGCCTATCAATTTCAGAACCTTGAATATACACAACTCAGCCGACTCAATTATGAACCTAGCTGACTTGTTCTTGAACTGAGCTGACTCAGTTCTCAATTAAGTCGACTTATTTGATGGTCAAACAAATCTGGTATAGAAATCCTCCATATTTCAATCCGTGCTTCACTTTATGCTTTTGCTGATCATTTCACATGTGCATACTGATATATTGACTGTTCCTTAGCTATGCTGAATTGTTTCTTTCTTGAAGTCAACAGCTATATTTTCTATGAAAGGGCCAAATACACAATTCCAAATTAGATGTCTGCCCAATGCACTGAACTTCTCTGCCAAATAAGGTTTCTCTGCCAAATGAAGCACTAATATGTCTTAATCTTGAGAAGGGTTTACAATGACTATTGACCAAGGAAGAGTCTATATATGCTGATATATGTTGTCTGCAAATGGCATGCTTAAGCCTCAAATAGACAGAGCTATGAGAGCCATTTTTGTGCATCCAAGAGAGCTTTTGCTCTACCATTCTACAAAGCTTTTGTTCTAGTATTACTCTTTGAGAAAGCTCTTGTTCTGAACAATCAATCATCTCCTCCTACATAAGTTTGCATAGCCAAAACAGAGAGAGAGAAACTGCGAATTTCTTGAGCAATTTTAGACATTCATTCAGAGCTTTTGTTATGAGATTTACACTTAGATACAGAGCTGTTGTTCTGTAATTATTTCTCTCATATACATCATACTTAGAGAGTGAGCTTCACTTGTATTCATTGATTCTCTAGAGTGAGTGATAATCTGTAAATCAGAGAAAGAGAGATTTGTAACACTTCTATATTTTCAACAAATCTATTGTAAGCCTAAGAGAAGGAGTTCTCTTAGCAAAGCTATTGTAAGGGCTGGTTTGGCCCAAAGGAAGTCTAAGAGAGGGTATCTATTAGCAAGAAGAAACAAGGGAGTTGCTTCACTACAAGATTTGCTCTCCACCCGTAAGGAGAAGCCATATTGGATTGGGAAGTCTCAAGAGGGGTCTTGAGCCGAGGAGTAGGAGTTTCCGAACCTCGCTAAAATCGTCGTGTCTATGTTTGCAATTTCTCTTCCCTTATCTCTCTTATTATTGTGCTATTAACTTGCTGAATTTATATCGCTAGTATTGCACTATAGCTACAATTTACTCGCTAGAAATTGAAGTTGCATAATCTGAAAATCTTGCTACTACATCTATTTGTTGATTTTGTATAGTTCATCCTTGTCAAATAGAAATTACATCTTGCTCATCTACTTAACTTTAAATCTGCAATTATTAGACAAGGATTCTATTCACCCCCCTCTAGAGTCTATTCGTGGGCAACAAAATTGATTTTTTGTGCTATTACTTTTAAGGGTATTTTTAATGCATTAATGTACTATTTTGTTATTTAAATGCAAAAAAGTATGATAGTAAATTTAATAACATAATTTTTATTTTTTTCCTATTCACATTTTCTAAGCATGAGCAGAGTTTATTACTAAATTTTTGGTATTTTTTCCCATTTCACAACTTATTCAAAGATTTTTTCTCTTTTACATCCCACTCATCCAAACAAATCCGAAGCTCCTAAAACTAATCAACACATAATCTCACGTGTACTATGATGTGAACCAGAGTAACACTTCACAACAACAGTCCCAACAATAGCCTATTGCTGCTAGATGTTTGATATTTTTTTTTAGAAAAAGAATGTCAGGGTTGGTTGTTAGAGGGAAGGGGTATGGTGCAAAACTCGAACACAGACTCTCAAATACGAGAAGAAATCTAACCAATTAAGCAATACAGCACTTGTGTTAGACGCCTGATCTCAAATAACACACTTGAGAGCCATTCTCTCGGCGCTCGGATTTTTTCATGGTCTCAGGTTTATGTTACAAGTAGTCTTGTCATTCTAGTGCAAGTCCTTAACATAGAATAAAGCCCAAAAAAAATTAAATTAACACAGAATAGAGTTAGCGGTGGGAAGATTATTACTCCCTCTGTTTCCCAAAAAAAACGTTTGCGAGTCACAATTTAAAAAATAAAAATAAAATACTATTTTTGGGACTGAATCAGTAGAATATTATATAAACAACCGTAGAATTAGATGAACAACTCTGATAACAACAATGCTATTTAGCCCAACTTTTCAACCGAAGATTTGGGTTGGGCCACAAGTAATGCATGTAGTTCAGCCCAACTTGAAGAGCTGGGCCAAAAACTCATTATTCAACTGCTAGTTGTTGTCATGAGTCTTTTGCAATTAATCTGTTTAATCATGTAGTTCGGCCCAACTGGAAGAGTTGGGCCCATAAATCATTATACAATGCATGCAGTTCGGCCCAACTCTTAGGCTGTCTTGCTTCATTGAGAAAATCAAGATCAAGAAATGCTGCATTATAAGTTACATTGTTAAAAGCATTAATATAAAAGTTTAGTTTGTGTTCCCCTTCTCAACATCATATTCATTTAAGTTCATATGTATGTAATAATGAACCTATATGTGTGTGTGTAGATATATATATATTATTAATTAATTAAGGAGAAATCATGCCAAATCCGAGGAATAATTTGCATGTGAGGAAGTGTAAAAGAGGTGAGGCTGAGGCAACACCATGTGCCTCCCAAGAAGGTTTGTCTGCAATTCCACATCCTATATATCATGGACTCCATGTATCTTATTAAGCAATGTTATGTAGTTTTCATGTAAACCTAACCATACATACATACATACATATATATATATATATATCTTTACCATCATATAAAATTAATCTAGATATTGTTATTTCTTCTAATACTACCACATAAATACGATACTATGGTGCCATTAAATTTCAAGTTCAAATCCTCTAGAGTAATAAATTCCTTAATGGGCATGATTGTGGACATAGACCGTCGACATAGTTCAAATTTTACCCGATTCATAGGGAGAAGTCATTTTATATGAATCTCGTGAATTAGTCAGAATGAAGCCTAGAACACAGTGGAATAATAATAATAATAATAATAATAATAATAATTACGTTTTATTCTCCTAAACTAACTGTTCCTTTTTATAAAAGACGACTAACTTCCCTCACTTGGAAATTGATGTTTTTATAATGTATAGAGCATTTGACCTTAGATATACGGGGAGAGAGAGAGAGAGAGAGAGAGTGATGATGTTTGCAAGGTGGTTGATTCTTTGGCTTTGAAATTGAGTTATAAATTCATTTAATTAATTAATTAATGTCGTTAGAAAGAAACAAAGTTCCTAATAGAAGCGCGCATGTTCTTCCAAACAAGAAACAATGGTTCCATCCACTACAACCTTATTATATATTTTTATTATTTATTTATTGCAGCCAAGCGTGTACCATGGTATTATTTATTCATCAATGTTGTGGAATTTCTTTGGGTTTAGGTCAAATAAACATTGATTTCATTAAACAAATATATTAAGGAGACTAGTAGTTATTTATTTATGATTTATTTAATTTTACTTTTAAGCCGTGAGCATCTAATACTTTCACATTATATATTGCACTTATAACCGGTGACGCTAACCTATTTATCCCAAATGAGTAATTATGCATATTAATACATTTTTCCATTCAAATCCGATGTTGGACAAGTTTTTCCTTGTAATATTTTCCCTCACCTAAATTCGCAATGCCCTCGTTGCGGCTCGGTCACCCTATCTACTCAGGGTGAAGACTCGGACGCCCTCCGGGCCAGACGCTTGATATGACATCAGATCAAGGACTGAGTCCGATACCAACAATAAAGGGTGAACACTTACACATTTACATATGTGCTTCCCTTGTAACATTTCTTCTATAGTACATAATTCAATGCGTATGGTATGGTATAATAATAATTATAATAATAAGTGTTGGCGTCTCAGCCTCACGAGTGCCAAAAACTGCCACTTTCGTATTGAGAGAGACATAATATTCAATTGCTTCTTGTCTCAGGGCGGCATCAATTTGTTTAAAACACGTCTGGTTTCAGTTGAATCCAACACGCTTCTGGGCGGCACATTGTCGTTCATTTACCGTGTACAATTAATTTTCTACCCTAACCTAGCCCCCTTAATTGTCATGTGCGCGCGCACGCAGTCATTTGTAAGTTTTTAAGCTGGCTTCAAATCTAACTGGGAACCGGGAAGACAGACAGACAAATACATATTTCACTTTTACTAAATGCATACTATATTGCAAAAAATTGAAGAATTAAATGGGTATTTCAAGCGTTTTAAAATATAGATGTCCTGCCTGAAGGGTTTCTGGTGACTTGTTCAAAGTCAAATATTGTGGCTTTACAAATATTTCCTAGAAAATACTTTATAGAATTAATAGATGATGTAAAACCATTACATGTCCTTTTTCCTTCCTTGCTCCCTCCTCACCCTGATAAAACATTTTACTTTTACTTTTACTTTCTCAAACAAATGATCAATACATACATACATACCGAATGCACATGGACTGTCATAGCAAAGCAAAGACTAATCACTATAGGATATCACAAGAAGATTGGGTATTCCACCATTAAGGACCACTTCACTTGGTCCCATTCATTTTGTCCTAAAAATTAAGGCCATCTTCCTTCTTCAGTACACTCCATATGACTGAAAACAATTTATCACCACAATATACTAAATGGTCTCTGGAGATGGGACCATATATCTGTGAAACAACCCAACAACATATACATTTACTGTTATTAACAAACACTTGTCACAAGACTTCCTATAACGTACCTGGGGCCGAGGGGGAGGGATAGCCAGCCCCCCACCCCCCCCCCCCCCCCCCCCCCCTGTCACTGCCATTGCCACTGCCAGCGTCCTGTCCCGTCCCGTCCCGTCCCTTAACTTTCTTCCCACCTGCTTGGCATTTAATTCACATTCAAGGGTCCCAATCCCTGTTGCATCAAACTTTTTTCATGCAAGCATAAGTCAAAGATAAGTTAGGTTTGGATCCATTCTTGTAAACATTTTCCCACTACTTTTGCCATGTCTGTCTATGCAAGCATTCAATAATTAATTTAGTGCATGCATGTGGAGTGTAGACTTGGTCCCCCTCACACACACTTCCATACTCAAATATTCTCCTTGTGACAATTGTCGCAATTTCCGTGCTTCACACTACTAATTCTTACTTTAATCCATCCATCATCCCTTGTGCTCTTAATTTGTCCCTTCCCTATCTATCTCCCAATCCATTTATGTATAAATACCCTTTCCCCATCTCATAATCAATTCTACTCTACGCTACGCAACCTAGCTCTACACTCTTGGACCAAGTTAATCTTCTTCTCATCATTGATCATTCATCACCACCACCATCACCACAAAATTAATGATGATCGAATCCAACCCTCCTCTCCTTCACAACTATGCAGAGCTTCTACATGAGTACCAGTACTCCTCCTCCTCCGGTACTGGTACTGGTACTGGTACTTGTGCTGCTGATGTTCATGATCAGCAGCGCGACAATAGTACTCACCCAAGTCATCAAGTGGTGGCCATGGAGGAATGTGACCTTCCTTTAATAGATCTTAGTAATCTAAGAAGTGAGGATGAGAGGCAGAGAGTAGCTTGTGCCAGGGAGATTTCAAGGGTTTCGTCCGAATGGGGATTCTTCCAAGTGGTGAACCATGGCATAAGCCTTGAGCTCCTCAGAAAGATGAGGAGAGAACAAGTTAAGTTGTTTAAGGCACCCTTTGAAAGCAAGGCAACCTGTGGCCTTTTAAATAATTCATATAGGTGGGGAAGTCCAACTGCTACTTCTCCAAAACAATTTTCATGGTCTGAGGCCTTCCACATTCCTCTTATCAAAATTTCAGAGGAAGCTTCTTATGGAGATCAGTTTAGCACCTTAAGGTACCTACTTACTTGTCCATACTTTCTCTGTTTCTTTCATTCCATCCAATTAGTACTACTAATTCAGGTTGTCAAAAAATGAACTAACTTCTGGATATATATACATATATATATATATAGGGAAGTGATGGAGGAATATGCACGGGAAATGCAAGAGCTAGCAAGGTTGCTTGCTGGGATTTTGGCAATGAATTTAGATCACCAAGAAGGAGCCTTTGAGGAACATTGCAATGAAAGCACATGCTTCCTTCGCCTGAACCACTATCCGCCCTGTCCTGTATCACCTGAGATTTGTGGATTAGTACCCCACACCGACAGCGATTTTCTTACAATCCTTCACCAGGATGAAGTGGGTGGACTTCAACTCATGAAGGACTCCAAATGGGTGGCTGTCAAACCCAATCAAGATGCTCTTATCATCAACATTGGAGATCTCTTTCAGGTCATTTATGGCTGCAGGGTTCAAATCAATAATCTTAATTTCAATATGCATGCCAACTACAAAAATTCCAAACTTGTCTATCAATTATATTGCGCATGCATATAAATAAATCAACTGATGTATAAATAGTACTACTTCTTTAACTTCTGAACATTCTTCAGGCACGTAACGATAACAAATTAATTAAATTGCAGGCTTGGAGCAATGATGTATACAAGAGTGTGGAACATAAAGTGATGGCTAATGACAAGGTTGAAAGATATTCGATAGCATACTTTCTATGCCCTTCTTATGACTCTTTGATTGGAAGCTGCAGAGAACCTTCTGTTTACAGAAATTTCACTTTCGGAGAATACAGAAAACAGATTCAACAAGATGTCAAGATGACTGGCCATAAAGTAGGCCTTTCCAGATTTCTGCAGACTTAAGAATCAATCCATTAGAGAGCGGCAAAGTTGATGCAGTCGGAGTCAATTAAGTTCTGAGAATTAGGGCAGAGTACTTTGGTGAACACACTCTCTCTCTCTGCTGCCCCTACCCTACATGTAAAACACCCCGGTTCCAATACTCATGTTTCAATTATAATTATATATTTTTACTTCGTATTTCCCAAGATAAACTAGAAAGATGTAGAGAGACAATAGAGTAATAGTAAGAATGACATGTATCAATATATAGAAATTTATATCATGAATAAGATATGATGGTTTTGTTCCCTCTATGTTATGTTGTACCATTTGGTGGTGTATAAATATAATATAATAAAATTGTGGATTTCTTTCCCATTGTATTATATATACTGGAGGTAGGAAGGAAGGTGCGGAGAATTGGTTCTCCTAAATTGTCTGTTCATTTAAGCAAGTTGGGTTTATTTACTTAAATATCCTAGCGACTGCAGTTTGTGATGTTAATTTTCTGAAGCAACGACAAGAATCAAATCCACCTCCTAATGTCGGGGCAATTCTATATGTTCTCTAATTAGACAAGCATGCATGTTAAATATTTGTTTCTTTCCAGTACCTGACAAATGATTATACATAATATAAATGGCTGTACATGTATCGAAGTTCAGGATTTAGGTTCAATAACTATTTTCTGCCATAAGAATAGGCAAATTAAGGGTGTCTTTAACCACTATTTTCTCTTTGAATGTTGGAAGATGGTGTCCCTACTCAGCAAAAATGAAAGCTTCTTGATACTGGAGGATGAGTGGTCGTGAATGGGAGGAAATTGCAAAAAAAAAAAAAAGAGTGGGGGGGGGGGGGGGGGGGGGGGGGGTGGGGGTGGGTGTGTCGCTAGATTAGAGACGAGATTGAGAAAGGAAAGCTATGTTTCGAGGTGCATAAGGGGATGGAGTGTGGTGCACGACCACAAAGCGCGTGGAAGGGGAAAAGGCAAAAGAGGAACAGGCGGTGCACATATGCAATATTATCGCAGAACATGGAAGATGGTTGGCGGCACAGGGGGGAGTCACTTGATGAGGAGGGTGAATTTTTAAACTCCAATGAAATGAGCCGTCAGTTGAATGTCATGAAGGAACATAGGTGTGGGTTGGGTCAAACTAGCACAGATAATCACGAGGTAAAATAGAGGGGGCGTTAGTTATAGGCTAATAATGTTAAGCCCAAGGAGAGCAGGCTGGTCCAAGATTGTATGCAGCAAGTCAATCAAAGTAGAAAATGGACTTGGGCTCAGAAAGGTAAGTGGTCCATTGAGTCTTGACCGAAGGAGATAAAAAAATTAATACAGTAGGACCTGATTCCATACCTAAGCCCAATGTAAAGGTGAGGTCAGTATTTCTGGTTCAAGCCTAGTCATTCCCATCTTTTCTCTACTTCTATCATGGGGCCTCTGGTGGGAACCTGATAGTGATGTAATGGAATGTGATTCTGGGGTGAGAAACAGGGATGGAGATACTAACGGAACTGGAAAGGATGGCAACATGCGTCAGGAAAACCATATTGTTGCAGCGGGAAACCAAAAGGATGATGGAGTTTTATCCATAGGAAAGGAATTTCACTAAGACTGCAAGGAATTTGATGCGGCTTTAATGATGTAATTGAAATTACAAGGTGAAATGGGGGGCTTTGGGAAGCTGGGACGCGGAGCTGGGTCAGTGAGTGGGAAGTCTTCTTCTGATGTTGGGGCTACAACACCCCTACTGATTGGTGAGTGGATAATTCAGTGTGCAGTATTGATGGGGAGGGGTTGGCAGTGGCTCTATTTGAAGAAATTGCTTTGGTTGAGGGCATAAGAGTAGATGATAGTGCTGTCGGGGGTCCAACTGTTGGCAGTTGTGGGGCATGGAAGTGTGAGGGAAGCCTACTGGTAAAGAAATAAGGGCTGGGTGTTGGAGAACATTGGGAAGATGAGCAAGAAGCTGGAGATGTCTTATGAAGGGAGTGAAAAACAGGTCCAACATTTATTTCAATCTATTGAAAATGAGTGGAAAATGGTGAATAAAATGAGGGGCTCGAGAGGGAAGAAGAGCACGAAATGGATGGGTTAGAGCAAGCTTCAAAATTTGATTTCATATATGAACAAGGAAAGCAGGAGTCAGGTGGAAAATGAGAAGGGGAGGGGAGTGCCAGCCACATATACACACACACACACAGAATGCAATGATATAGAATGAAAGCATGGTCGCCATTTGTTTGAGCACCCAAAGGCTAGTCCTTTTACCTTCATAAAATTCCATAATGCCAATCTGGAACTACACTGATAATCTAGACCAAGAGCCACTACAACTAGAATCTTTCAGTTCCACAATGTTCAAAGATGTACTATTTTAGATGCACCTCTATAGAAAATCAAGATAATTGCCATGCCATTTAAAATTTCTGGGCAGGGTATGAAAATCACTATTTTGTGTTACACTTGATATACACAGCTAAAGTAATAGTAATATAAATATTACGATAAAACTAAAAACAACGGCTCCAGTATGTCTGAAAGCATTTATAAGAGAATAATTCATGCAATAATTCACCAGCAAAGCTTTGGCATTGGCACCCGGCGTACACCAAAAGCAAAAATTATTCTATAAATATCATCCTGAATGCTAAAACAAAGTTAAACGTGATTCTTTATTTCTTACATGTACAAAAAGATAAAGAACTATCCCATTGCCTTGGAATTTGCTTCATCCTACATAGATGTCATCCAAGGACAAGGTCAACAAACCATAAACTGTTTGAAACAAATTGACACTTAAATAAAAGGAGCAAATGATACACACCTCGACAAAGATGACTTCTGGATGATTGAAAAATCAGCTAAAGGAGATGACAAGTGCACAAAGATTCACAAAGGAGGGCCCAATCAATTTGGAGGATCTTAGGAACATCTTCATGTCCCTGCTTTGCTGTCCTATACAGGTTTATATTAACAAATTTAGACATACTATTCAGTCGAGAAAAAAAGCTACCTTGTCCTTGAGACTGCTCTTCTTCTTTGTTAAGGGGACCAATTCTTCCCCAAGAACATCATTCTGGTTGTGTATTTTGAGCTCATAGGAAAATGTCAAATCTTGCACTATTGATTCAACCTTCTTCTCCTCCTCGAGGGGTTTGTTCAGCAAGGGGCCTAGGAATAAATCCAACATGTCTTGAGTAGGATCCCCAGTTATTGGATTACTTATAATTCCTTCTTTTGTTGAATTCTCCGTAAAAGTTGTTTCTTTTGGCATTGGCAATTTCCTGCTACATTGAGGGACATTTAGAGAGCCCTCCAACCGATCTGTAGAGAACGAAGTAGCTGACCACTGGCATTCTTCTTCCTGTTTTCTGTCTAATAACTGCTGTTGATCCGTATCTTTATCCGTTTCAATGTACTGCACAAAATTAATAGTGTCATTTTAGATTCATTAACTTCTATTCACCTTTAAATTTTCCTCATAGCTCTGTCAATATGAAATCCACAGCCTCAAAGGTGAAATCCCATTCTACAAAATCTAAGTGTACCACTAAATATCATGTCTAGATAATTTAATCTATAAATGAAGGTAAAACTGAATAACAGGGTACCAAAATTTTTCAGCATTAGAATAGAGGAACACAAATAATGTTCTTCGCCTTGCAGTAATAGGGAAACAGTTACTAACTCACCTCTTTAGCAATGCTCATCAAATCTTCCACAGTCAGCTCTCCTTCATCATCACTGGGAGACGGATTGTCAACATCTTCACTACTTTCAACCGTGGAACTCTTTGCTTTTCTTCCTTTCCGAGGAGCAGATACCTTAACAAGAGCTCCTCGAACTCCAACATTCTTTTTCTTTGCCATTCCATTTTCACAGATATTACTATCACAATCCCCATCTATTGATTGACTCAATTTTCTTTTTCTTCTCTTTGTTTCACGTGTTGCTGGTAAACATGAGTCTGTCTCCACAGGGGGTTCCTTTCCAGCTTTTATTGACTTGGGCTGGGAAGGTTTGGATGCAATTCTTTCATTTGCATCTGGTTTGTTGATGTTATTGTCGTTATTTACATTTGCATTTTCTTTAGACTGGTCAGTAACACCTACCCCAAGCATCCATAGGGGTAACTGTCGCTTTTGACCTTCACCAGGAACAACTCCAACCATTTTTTACCCTTTTCTTTTTTGGGGAGAACTGTGGTAAGTAGTCTTTTATATATCTTTATCTAGATGATCAAACACATCTGAATCTTGAACTACACAATACAACAATGTTTGAATTAAAATTTAAACTATATAATTAAGCACCAGATCAGTAATGAAATCACAGAACATATGTGTAGGTACATGGAAACATGAACCCTATTCCATATTTATTCTAATAAAAGCCTGTGCTCTGACATAGCACTATTCACTTTAAACAAGAAGAAGAAGAAGAAGAAGAAGAAGAAGAAGAATAAGGGGATAGATAAATAAAGAAACAAAGAGATTACACACAAACATATATATATATATATATATATATATATATATACCTGAAGATTAGGGTTCCGGGAGAAATCACCGATACCACCGAAGATCAGATTCAGAGGTGAACAAGCAATCCAATAGTGATTTCTAGAGGGAGAGAGTGTGTTCCGTACAAATACGAAAGAAGCATTCGTACCCATCCCTAATCCCTCAATCCAAACAAAGCCTACGGAATCGTAGCATCGCGTGGGAAAAAAAAAATAATAAAGGTTTAGCTACAATGTCATATTTTCTTTCTTTATTTATTTATACTTTTTTATGCGCACAAATAAACTTATAAGTAAAAATGTACTCCGTATCACTAATATTATATCCGACCACTCGACCCTTTTACTTTTTCAGTGGGTAAAAAAAAAAAAAAAAAAAAAAAAAAAAAAAAAAAGGCACTTTATTGAGCAAACTCATAAATTCTTATAGTCCCTAATCGAACCGAGAACAACACAGTAAAAGTGTGAGCCTAATACAATCGCTGCCGCTGTAGACATCAGCTACTTTGGCCACCATTTGTTAGGGTTTGTTGTTCGCTCTCCTTTGTATCTTTTATATTTTTCTCTTACTAATCTTGAGTTTTATTAATTTATTTATTTTCATTTCATTCTGTTTGTTTATTTGGAATAGTTTTCCTGAAAAGATTTTGAGGCTATTTGATTATTGCTAGTAAATAAAATTAGCAAAGCTTTGCTTTTACACTTGGAATTTAATTTTTATTGGGGAGATATTTAAATGGAATTTAATTTTCATATATGAAGTTGTAATTTGAATAGTGTAAGAATTCCATAATTTAGCTCTGGTGTTCTGCCATGGTTGTTGTCCTCCCTTTCTAATGTTGTTGTTTAATGTGTACACTAGATTGAATTCAACAATTGCCATAGGCTTTTTGGCTGAATTTGAATACCGCACCATTTGAAATTTGTCCTCTAATTTTTTTTTTAATTGATTTTTTTTAAGGCTAAATTATAACATGTGGATAGTAAATTTTGTTCTTTCATCTGTTTCCTTGAAAAAGAAAAAGAACCATTCTTTCTGATGCAAAATATTTCAATGTAAGAAAGAAAAAAAAAAAAATTTTAAAAAATAAAAATTCTTATAGTCCCTATTCGAACCGAAAACAATAGAGTAAAAGTGTGAGCCTAATTAAATCAATGCCACTGTAGGTATCAGTTGCTTTCGCCGCTGTTTGTTATGGTTTGCTGTTCACTCTCTTTTGTGTGTGTGTGTCTATATATATATATATATATATATATATATAGTTGGGACTCACACACAATGCTTTCACTGAAGTTCGAACCCCTGACCTTCCTTTGTTTAATATCCCCTAATTTCTGAACACGAGTTGATCAAATTCGAGCATAAAATTAAGGAATATCAAGACAATTAAAGTATTTCAAACAAGCACATATTACAAAATGAAATTAAGAATAAATAATACGCTGAAGAAAAACAAATAAATAATATTTTCCATTAATAACTCTCTAATGGTTATAACTCGGAAATTCCGTAACTCAAAGACCCCTTAACAAAAATTCATTATCCAATAAATAACAATACTACTTAAAAGAAAACAAGATGAATAGATGAAAGACAGTCTCCCAGTTGCGGATCCTCAACCTCGAGACTGGAACTTCTAATAACCTGAAAAAACAAATCGTGGGTTAAACCCTATGAGCAAGCTCTCTCTACCCAGGCCTCTGAAAACCAATAAGCAGATTATCTCTGATCAAAATCAAACCTAATAAAGTTTTAAGTTTAATAAACGATGATACGCATATATATAAATAATTATATACAGTATAACCTTCACATCCATTAATAGGTTCATTAATTTTCAAAACCATTTAACCATAATTAAAACATAATCATATCTAAATCAATCCAAAATCTCCTTTTCTTTTAAAGAGAAACCCATTTAACCTTAACTCCATTTTAAATAATTATTTAATCATTTAAATAATAAAATATAATGTTGCCCAAGTATTGACTCTTTAGGGGGGGTGAATAGAGTCTATGGCAAACAATGGCCAATTTTCGGATTTGCAAATTCTACTTAACACCCTCTAACAATTATGCAATAATCAAGATATGGACATAAGCAATTAATAGCATAAAATGTAAAGGAGATAAGGGAAGAGAGATTGCAAACATTCACACGGCGATTTTAGCGAGGTTTGGAAACTCCTACTCCTCGGCTCAAGACCTCTCTTGAGACTTCCCAATCCACTATTGCACCTCCTTACGGGTGGAGAGCAAACATTTACATGAAGCAATACCTTACTTCACTTTGCTAAGAGACAACCTCTCTTAGTCTTCCTTTGGGTCACACCAACCCTTACAAATTTGAAGCCAACTAGCTTCTTCTTTCTTCGGCCACACCTGCCCTTAAAAATTGAAGATCAAATTTGTTGCATACAAGTATATCTCTCAAAGATTGATATGCAAATCAAAGCTTACAACTTTCAGCTCACTTTAAAGTATATATATGAATAGATTGAAACTCAATACTCTATGAATGATATGGGATTAGAATGTATGATCTGAATTAAGAACAAAAGCTCTTTTGATGCTAGAAGATGTCTTTCAAGTGTAGCAACACTTAATCCCGAAGTCCCCAACTCTATTTATAGAGTTCTGATGCAGCTATTCAAAAATATAACTATTGTGCACAGAGTTCAAGGCAAAATAGCCGTTCAGATTCAAATCTGGGCAATGTTCGGTCGATCGAAATGAAGCACCCTTGTGTTTTGGTCGTCCGAAATGGTTTTAAGCTTAGTCATCATCCTCTCAGTACTCTTGGTTCGGTAGATCGAAGTAAAACCCTTTTCTGTTTCGGTAGACCGAAATGGTTCAGGTTGGCCATGAGTCCTTATTTCGATAGACCGAAATATAATGGTCCTGAATTTCGGTAGACCGAAATTGACCTGCTGCATCATGAATTATTCTAAGTTAACAGATTTATATGTCTTTACTTTAATTTATATGTCCATTTACTTTAAGTTTACAATGTAAATAAGGAAGTACCCCCCATTTGGATTCAATAAAAAATACTAGAAAATTGAAATCTAACTAAATCAAAATGTAGAAATTCAGTTTTAGTACAAATTTGAATTTTCGACAGTTTTGGTAAAATTGAATCATTATGTAGACCAATGTAGACTTGGTCAAAACTTCTGATAAAATCAATTTAGGCTAATTTAAGTATAAAGAGTTATTATCGGGAAAATTTATTTTGAAATAATTATTATTTCAAAAATCTATTTTTCACACTTAGCCAAAAACACAATTTTTCATAAAGCGCATTTTGGGGTCCTAATGTCCGTTACCAACTCATGGTAATGAAGGTTTCTCAAGCCTTAATTGTTAACCAATATGAATTATATGATTGATGTGAATGGTCTTAACATTTCTAGCACAAGTGATGAGTTCTTTCAAAGCTTATGCAAGCTTGAACTAACTCACTCTTTAGCAAAGACTCTATATGTCAATTGTATATGAATGAAGTGCATAGTCTATTGCTAATGGATATAGGAGCATATGAATGATGATATGATATGCATGGTCCTATAAAGATGAGCTTCAAATGGATTCATAAATACTTTGACATTGAATCCTAAATACTCACCATCCTATCTACCCCTTTCTTCACGCTTTGTCCATGATCGTGTAGGCTTTTAGGTAGACTTGCTTTCTTCCTTTCTTTGAGTTGCTTTCTTGCTTGTTGTAGTCTAAGCTATCTTTGGATGGACTTTGCATTTGCTTCTTTGCAACTTCATGTCTTCTTTGTATCCATTGCTTTCCTTGATATGATCTTGAATAATGGAATATTGGGAATGATCTTTCGTGCTTCATTGAGGTCATCCTTTGAATGTGAATAATCTATAACACTCAATGTAAACATTAATCCTTAAACACCATTAATGGTTTGTTATCATCAAAACCTCTAGATTGTCCTTGGATGGAATCCTTGAAGTCAACAATCTCCCCCTTTTTGATGATGACAAAACATTGATGTGTTCATAAGCAAATGGAGTAGCATTTGAAAAATGCTCCCCCTATCAAAGTGCATTCAATGAACATAATGTTATAAAATAGCATGCTTGTACATTCTTCATGAATTTTAGACATTAACATGCATATAAGATCATTTTAAGCTCTAAGAGATTTCTATAAATCTCCCTTTCTCAACATGCTTCTATTAAAATACATATATATCATTCATTTGACATGTAAGAATAAGTATGATAACATAATGATATATGACATGAAGCATTTGATCCAACAACTAGGGGCATCTTCCCTCTTGATATGAAACAACATAGCATTTTACACATCACACTTTTCTCATAATGATATATGACATGAAGCATTTGATCCCACAACTAGAGGCATCTTCCCTCTTGATATGAAACAACATAGCATTTTACACATCACACTTTTCTCCCCCTTTATCATCTTAAAAAGGTGGGAGGCTTAAACAACTTCATTAAGTATTTATCATTAAGTGTAGTGAAGTGATGGCATCAAGAATTGGCAATATAGTGGTAATGACTATAATATGCTTTGGATTGGAACATATAAGCAATTATATCATAAGATACCAATTTCATTGATAGCATGAGTTCAATAGATCATAAAGGTTCATAGCATATTCAAAAGTATACATAAGACATAAAACAAATGATGAAATATAAACTCAATTAGGCAAAAGTATACATAGTGAAGAATAACAAGAAAAATGAAGCATGGATAAGAATGAGCCAAAAGGCAAAAACCTTTGTAGAGGCAAATCTAAGAAGTTAAGTGAGCTTCAATCCTAACATATTTTTCCCATTTGATAATTTCAAGAATGAGGGAAAGTTTCATCAAAATTATGAAAGCTTATGAGTGTGAGTATGAGGATTAACAAGTCTTTTCTAGCATGCTTGACAGTTTCCAACATAAGTCAATTTAGCATAACAAGTCATGCAGTAACCATTCATAAGAGATTATTAATAATCTCCCCCTATGAGTATGCTTCCATTTATATCATATACCAAGTATTGGAGATATGCTAGATAATGTAATAAAACAATGATATATGGAATGAGCCATTGATGCCAAGGGTCTTCTTTTTATAGGCATATGATTGAATGATAAAAATCATATGTGGCATGTAAAGCATAAGGCATATGCAAGTAATGTCACTACTCAAGTTATGTGCAATAAATTTTCAGTTATGCAAAAGCATATTTTC